AGGATTTTACTATGGAGAAATTCCGTTCCTGGCCAACTGTCCACATTAAGCGATTGTCCACATTAACCGTGTCCACATTAACCGGACTCCACTGTATATATAAAAGCGGACGTAAGTGAAAAGGCAGGACAAAGTCGCTTCGGCAGTTGCAGAAAACTAAGATCCGAGGAATAACTACATGAAGATGAACAAGTTAAATAGCACAGGAGGAAAATAAAACTTTTCGAAATTCGCGCCAATTTACGCAGATGATGGTAAATATTTGAAGTAAGCCAATACCATGAAGAGACAGGGACTAGGCGAAATTATGATGAACTAGGAGGGTAGAATCCGTGGAAAAATAGCTCACCGTAACAACTCTTGATATCGACTTGAAGCAAGTCTTCACAAAGGGCATTTAGAAATGAATGGGATACGGGTTTCATTATAGAAAGGAAATATAAGTGCAGTTAGTGCATTTCTAAAATGACAAGTTAGTTCGCCGGAAAATTTACAATCACATACGACATAAATGGCATATGGAATTACAAAGTGATGCAGAAAAAAAGAATGTTATGTCAATCGAAGTGCAAGGTTTTGCCGTTTATGCTTTTGGCGCAGCCAACACTTTCGTATCTATTCGAGGCACCAGAAACGGTTCTGCTAATTACTCACTTGCTTTGATACCACATTTTTATTCGTTCAAAACAGAGATAGTCATAACTATTTTATTTTTGAATCGATAGTTCACAGGCAAACTTCACAGACCGGATACTTTCTGGTCAAAATATCAAAATGTCTCAACTCGATACGGCCGTATGCAAGTGACAACCTATCGCATTTCTCGGGCGTCGCAACATGGAAGGTCTGCGAAACTTGTATTATACACTGTTTTCGGCTACAAAATAAAAGCTGATCGAAATTATAGAGGTTAGCATACGTACGTTAGTGGCTACCTTCATGACGTCCTATTACATAACCAACTTCACGAAACGTATGAAGAGTTTACTGACTACCTACAGAATGCATCTCTCAATTAAGTGAAAATTGATTCCGACGGCCAGATCTATCTTAAGTGACAAGGTGTTTAAGTGGATTCAAGGCAGTACTGGCATGATCTAGGAGGGGGAAGGTGTACTCACGTGTCAGCGCCCTTTCCGTTTTGCTTGCTGAACTTTCAGCATCGCTCTTGAAACTCTCGTTCTATTCGTTCTCGTCAGCACCCCCGCGGACCTTCTGCATTACAGTAAACCTTATTTCTTCGTATTTTCTACTGTCGGAACATATAGCTAAGTTCATATTTTCTTTAGTATATCTTCCACATACATCTCTGTGGGTGTGCAGCACACTATCTTACAAGCCTTTCCAGCGATATCCAGTTTAAAACTATCTAATTTGCATTAAATACACTTGCCCATGCCTTACCCAACGCTCTCGCTCGCTACAAGAACGTGGGTGCATATTTCGGTCACCCACCTCGCCGCGTCCCAATACTGAGTCAAAGGACTATAGCTGAGCCGTTCAATTAACCTTCGTATGATAAATTTTCAATAAAAACACAAAATGTACGACATCTGACCGTCTTCTAACTGTATTTGTTCCAGTGACAAGAACAGTGCCGGATGCATAAACTTAACCCAATAGGAGGTTTAAGAGCATCTGGGTCTAGAGTCAGTTACGCAACGGCCAATAGAATGTAACTGCAGCAAGTACAATTAAACAGTTCGGCACATAAGTAGCTAGGGTTATCGACATTATTCGC